ATGGTTGTTGTATCCGGTTGATGATGGATCAGTGTTGGGTGACTTGGTCACGTGTTGGTACCACATGCATTGTGTCTGCATTTGTGTTTGCATGGAATTGTAACATGTTAGGATGTCTTCCAGTGTTACAATTCTTTGGTTGATTATTGATTTGTGCATAATGACTTGTATGATTGGAACTGCGTGTTGAATATGAATTTATGCTAAAATGGGTGAAATAATATGCTTGTGATATAATGTTGATTGAGAAGCTTATAATGCATGTTAATTATGAGAAATCTCACCCTTACTTTAACAATTTCAGATTAAAGTTAGCAGCTCAGGAGTTGGTGAGGATGGCTCTAGAGCTATGTTACTTTAAGTCTGCGTGTCAGTGTCGTGCTCTGATAGGTTGTAACACTGGGGGAAACGTTTGAATGATGGGTTTTATTTTATACTCTATTGTTTAATTTATGTTGGGAATACTTATGAAGTGAAGTTATTCCGGTTTTGAGACATTTCCGTTGTGTAGAACATGATATTGATTTGAATATTTATCTTAATAATTCCTTCAGTAAAGCACGATAACTGTAGATTTGAGGTTTTTATATTTATCTTGGATTGTGACATCCCTGTTTTCCATGTTACTCTGATTTAATTAATATATTCGCGGGTTATTTAGAAGGGGTGTTACAACAGGCGCGCGCTTCTACCACTGAGGTGGCTATACATCTGTTAATACAAATGAAACAATAAATATGTAAGGCAAAACATGTTCTGAAGACTTCATCTTCAACCTCCAGCCAGACCAACTGTAACTTGCTTATTTCTCATTAAAAATGAAAACTGTAAACATGAAACTTGTAGCAAATTTTCTCACGATTCCAGAAATGTAAAGTATTAAAACTATAGATCAAAGATAAGCAAGAATTTTAATGGCCCTAATTTGAATCCTAAAAATTTCAGAAATTTCAGTTTCAAAATTCTCTAAGATCAAGCAAAATTAATGGAAACTAAGGACATGGTTAGCTTCAGGGCAATGATATATACATGTTTTGTTCACAAATAAACTATTGAGGATGTCTGTATGAAGAGTTTTAAGTTGAGAAAACTTACCTAAAAACTGGAAATCGTGTTTGGAGTTTGAGCTTGTTTCAAGTGATGGTGATGATCAGGTTAGCTTTCTTGAGGTACTAGGAAGCTAATGCAATGGTTTGCTTGAGTTGAGAGTGGCTGAAATGACTTGGGAAGTCCAACTGTAATGCTCAATTTTTGGCTATGGAAGTTGATAAAGATGAAGTTACAGTTTGCAAACAGGGACAAGGATGGTCTGTATTTGGTATGAGGAAGCTTTTGAAACAAAAAGGCCAAGAAACGCACAAGGGAAATGTGAGTTTGATGTTCAAGGTCAGAAACTGTGCAACAATGGAGTTTTTGGGCAATTTCTGATTTGAGAGAGTTTTGGTGTGTTTCAGGGTGTTCAAGCTCGTGTCCTAGCTCACAAATAGTGACTCTATTTATAAGCAACAAGTTTGGAGTGCTCTAGTTGATCAAAATTCAAATTTACATGTTTAAGTTAAACATGTGATTTTTTGACAAAAATAAGTTTCCATGCCTTGTGTACTTGTTAAGTTAGAGTGGTTATGCTTTAAACAAGCTTGCTTCTGACTTTGTGGATGGAGTGTGATCAGAGGGAACAAGTTAGAGGCTCAATGTGAACTTTATGCAAAAAGCTTGCTTTACAAGAATGACATTGTTAACTTTGTGCCATAAATGGAAATGCAACTTGGACAATAGCTCAATTGTTTGGATCAAAGACCTAACAACTGTGTAAACATTTAATTATGGAGTGACAAACAAGTTTGAGGCCTGCAAAGAAAATATTATGCAACCTAGCATGGATTTGATTCATGTGTTCATAAAAAATGACTTATAATTCAAGTGACAAAATCCTAATTTCATCTCTTCGATTCTCCCTCCTCAAGAATGATCTCAAGGAGTTCTTTGACATTTTGGAAAGCTTGCAATATGCTCTACAACCCATCTTTGAATTTATTTTAAATATTCCCCTTGGAACTATATGAAAAAGTGTCATGAAGTTAAGTCAAAACCCTGACCAAATTATGGCAAAATTTCACTAAGTGTTTAGTTTCATGACCACATGTTCATAAAATTATAACTTGAGATCTAAGCATTTTTGGAAGGAGTTGTGTAAAGAAAAATTATAGATATCATGGAGATCTACAAATTTCATGTTGGAAGTTTCTCTTGAATCATTTTGCATCATGGTGAAAATTTGGCTCAAAGTTATGAAAAAATATGAAATTTCCAACACAGAAAAATTTCTAAGTTTAGAAATTTTGACTTTTCAAAATGAAATCTTGACTTTTTAATTTATTGATGAATAAGTTTCATATTTTGACATATTTTGATGAATTGTGATCCTTGGCACTTGAATTTGACCAAAAAGTCAAAGTTTGACTTTTCAATATACAGTTGACTTTTGATTAGTTGACTACAAAATTCATCTGTCAAACCAATGGACTTGCAATGTTTTGAACCATGTCATTAGGTCAAAATGATGCAATTGACTCTTGAGATCATTCCTTAAACCAATTGACCATTTGCTAGGTCAAAAATCAGAAATTGCCCTTTCCTAGTCAAAACCCTAATTTTGACCATTTTGCCCTTTTGATGATTTGATCAAATTTCTTGGGGAATTATGGTCCAAACTTGATCAAATTATACATATGAGTTTATAATGTTGATATGGATAAAAAATTATGAAGTTTGACTGTAAATTGGCCATGGTTGACTTTTTCCTCAATACAACTGATTTTTAGGTCAACTGCTCAATTGACTGAGCAAAAATGTGATCCAAGGCTTGAAACTTGACATGAGCAACCTTGGGGGTTCCATAATGATCCATGAAAGTCATATGGGGAATTAGAAGTTCCAAAATCTCTGTGCAATCTTAAACCTTAATTTTGGTCATTAGTGCTCAAGGAGGTGTCTTGAGCTGATCAAACCCTAGTGCAGTCTTGAGCCCAAGGAGATATTGTGAGCAAATTCTTGATAAGTGAGAGGGCAAATTTTAGGGTACAACAGAGAGCATAATTGTTCTTCATAATAATCATATAATTGTTATCATCAAAACTAGTACTTAGATGTAGAACTAAACTATGTTCTAATATTAATGGTTGTAGGAATCGTTGTTGCATATGAAAAAGGGACCATTTTGTGAAATCGTCATAGAAGGAGAAGGATGCAGCAAATATGAAAACAATAATTGTGCGCTTGTAAAATAATTAGGGTGGATGAATCTTCGTCTTCAACGTTAGTGTCCCGCCCTAACACCCGCTCAAAAATAATAAATTTGTTACTAATGTTTATTAAAATAAGGAAATTAAATTAAAACAAAATTAAAAGGTTTTTTAAATCAAATTTTGAGTTTGACAGTTAACTATATAATAAAGGTATTATCACTCTAAAACATTTATTTAAAATGAGAATAATATTCATACATCGATAGTGTAAAATTATTTTACGCATGCATCCAATCAAATAATGACATGTAGACATTTGAGATTATATTTTAAGAACAAACTTATAAAAATGGTACTATGATATGATTTCATTAGATGCATGTGTAAAAATATTTTACACCGTCAGTGTATAATAATTAATTTCTTTAAAAATTATTATCTATTATTAATTGCATAAATTTTTATTAAACTTTAAAATATTTATCTTTTTACTATTATTAAATGTGTATTAAATTATGTTTAAAATAAAATATAAAATATATAAAAAAAATTAATATATTTGACAAGAATAGAAAGAAGAAAAAGTTAGAAAGCATGGGAGTGGTGTGGTGCAACACTTTCTTTGAGTGTGATGGCTGAACAATGTGTGATGCAAAATTGAAGAAAAAATCAATGACCATGAAAAAGAATAATTGAAATTACATTTAAAATAACTAAGAGGATTTTTTATTTCACTTAATGTTTTTTTAGCACACCATACAAAATTTATAAAATGTCTCTTAAAATCATAAATATATTTTCAATATACACTATGTTGGACATATATATATATATATATATATATATATATATATATATATATATATATATATATATATATATATATATATATATATATATATATATATATATATATATATATATATATATATATATATATATATATATATATATATATATATATATATATATATATATATATATATATATATATATATATATATATATATATATATATATATAGTTGGGTGTAAATCAAAAATATATTTATAATTTTCAAGAATATTTTAGGAATTACAAAAATTTCTTTTAGAGATAAGGTGAAATAAGAAATTATCATAATTAAAAAGTTGCTTTCTTTTGCATCCAACACATTCGGTATTGACGAAGGTTTAGGCATTGATCCTTATGGTACCTAGTGGGAAAATAAGCAAACAAAGAAAAAGTGAAAGTGATAACACAATATTCTCAAAATGGAACAAAGAAACAATCACAATTTTTCTTATAAAAAAAATCAATAGCAAACATAGAAAGTTTTTATAATAAGTTGGCCCTATAAACCTTTGATAGTTTGGTGGCTTTTCAACTTAATTAAAGGTAAATGAAAGGAATAACTTTATGAAAAAATGTTTTTGTTAAAAAGTTTAAGAAAAATTCTTCATCACTATTCCTAAGTAAAAACCAAATACTAATAATTCTAACTATGTAGAGATATTAGATACAGAGACCCGGATTCAGATATTAGATACAGAGACGCGAATTTGAACCTGAGACAATAAATTAATTATGAGTGAGGCAACAATTTTAGGTAGTGAAATTGAGTTGGTTCCAATGTAAAACCCGCCACATGATGAGTTAAGTATTTATTTAATTTCATACGGCAATAACTATGCCACTTTTTCTCTCTCTCTATATAGGTGTGTGTTTTTGGTAGGAAAAGTAAAACTGGGTGAAACCTGCGGGAAAAAGAACACCATGCTAGATTCTACAACTTCCTATGTCTCTGACTCCACACTTGAGGATGTTCCTCACTTGTCTGATTACATCCCTGATCTTCCTGTATGAACATCACTGATTCTGTTCATGTTTTTGGTTCAATTCTCATAAATCTTTCTTGTTTCAATGGATATATATATATATATATGTTGATGATTTTTTTTCTGCTTTTGGTTGATCATGCAGACATATCCAGACCCATTGCAAGATAATCCTTCTTATGCAGTTGTCAAGTATGTGATCAATTTCAGTCAAATCATTTGCTTAGCCTTATTTTGTGTGATTATCATTTATATAGAAACACTTGTGCATAACCTGTTTTCCAATCAATTTCCTATTATCTCTCTGAAATCACTTATTCAACAAGGGATTAATTGGAATGTTTGATTCAGTGATTAACCTGGTTAATTCATGTTTCCACAGACAGTATTATGTACATTCAGATGATACCGTTGCGCAGCAGGTAAGTCGTTTTGTAACATTCGCTTCTCTTTCTCATCCTCTATACAATTCTTTCAGTGTTTCCGAGTTAATTATTCTAAATTGTTTCCTTTTTTTATAGATAGTTGTTCATAAAAATAGTCCAAGAGGGACCCTTTTTCGACGCGCTGGACCTGCTCAGAAGGTTTTTTTTTCTTTTTCTGTTTGATCGAAATTAAAACATCGGCTTGCACATATATATATATAATACAATACAAAGTGGATGTATTGCAGGTATATTTTGATTCAAACGATGTGCGTGCTTGTATTGTTACATGTGGTGGTCTTTGTCCGGGATTAAATACAGTGATAAGAGAATTAGTTTGTGGATTATACCATATGTATGGAGTGCACAAAGTTTTGGGAATAGAGGTATGCATAATTTATATGACAGTGCTCACTTTTCTAGATTTTGTTTCATGAAAAGTTGATCTAGATCGTAGAGGTTTGGTTGAATGTAGGGTGGATATAGAGGCTTTTACTCTAGAAATACAATTCCTTTAACGCCGAAGATTGTCAATGATATCCACAAACGCGGTGGAACCATTTTGAAGACATCGTATGGAGGACATGATACTTCAAAGATTGTTGACAGTATTCAGGATCGAGGCATTAATCAGGTTTATATACTTGGAGGATTCGGAACTCAAAATGAAGCAGCTTTGATTTTTGAGGTAGTCACTAATTGATGTAGTTTGAGAACGGATTGGTTAGACTCAAGTGGTTAACGACTTTTAATCATGGTCAAATTGATCAGAAACATCTAAGTTCGATCTCTGACTGAAACAGTTATGTGTCAGACTTTACTTACATGGCAAAATTTGGTGATGTCTCAGGAAATTAGAAGGCGGGGATTGAAAGTTGCAGTGGTTGGAATTCCGAAAACTATTGATAATGATATCCCTGTAAGGATCCTTTGACTGAATATGTAAAAGTTCTATTCAATATACTTATTCACTGTTGTTCTGTATTTGAATCAGGTAATTGACAAGTCAATTGGTTTTGACACTGCTGTTGAAGAGGCACAAAGAGCTATTAATTCTGCTCATGTTGAAGCAGAAAGTGCTGAAAATGGTATCGGTGTTGTGAAGTTAATGGGGCGTTGCAGTGGTAAGCTTCATTCATTCTTATGGTAAAAATCGGTTGAACCAACCGGTTGAATCACAATTCGATTCCGGTTCAACCAGTTGAACGGGACTGTTCAGGACTCATGGTTAGTTGTTATGGTGGCATATTGATGCAGGATTTATAGCCATGTATGCAACTCTTGCAAGCCGAGATGTAGACTGTTGTTTGATTCCAGAATCACCCTTTTACCTTGAGGGACCAGGTGGAGTACTGGAGTTCATTGAGAGGAGATTGAGAGAACAAGGACACATGGTTATAGTAATAGCTGAAGGTGCAGGTCAGGAGCTAATTCTTCCTAGTGACAAATCTAATAAGAATAGGCCAGATGCTGCTTCAGATGACTTGTTTCATGATGTTGGTCTTTGGTTATCTCTGAAAATTAAGGTAAGAAATCTCAAAATTTTCCTTTTTTTTTAGTTTTTATTTTACATTAAAATGTTTGTTTTTATTGAAGGATCACTTTGCAAGAAATAAGAAGATGACTATAAATCTGAAGTACATTGGTGAGTTCTTTATTTGGAACTGTATTTGTATTATTGATTAAAGAACAAAATGCAGGGAACAAAAATGAAGAAAATTTGTGTTGCAGATCCTACTTACATGATCCGTGCTATTCCAAGTAATGCATCTGATAATGTGTTTTGCACCTTACTTGCTCAAAGTGCCGTTCATGGTGCAATGGCTGGATACACAGGCTTCACAGTTGGTCCAGTTAATGGCAGAAATTGTTACATTCCATTTCATGTAAGTTACTGCAACTCTTTGATATCACATTAACATAATGTTAGATGCAATCAACATAGGCACAAATTGGACACCCTTTTTCTGCACTATGCTTTGTTTTTGCTTTGTATAGGAGCCATTGTATCGGTGCTGTATCATTAGTTTACCATAAGTGAAAATGTTATTTTGTATGTGCAGCTTATAAACGAGGGGCAGAAGAGAGTCGTGATAACAGACCGGATGTGGGCAAGGTTGCTGTCCTCGACCCATCAGCCCAGTTTTGTGAATCCTCAACATAACACAGAAGAAGCAAAAGCAGAATGAACAGAACACATAATATCAGAAATAGAAGAAAGTGTGGTGAGTCATAGTTATAAATTATAATAACGCCTTTAAAATTGGCGAGTTACAGCAAATTTAATGCTTGTAACAACAAATTACATAATTGAGCCAAGACAGGCGAAAACTATAGTATATCTATATTTACAAACTTCTGAGTGTCAAATTGTACATCTTACAAAACAAAGAGAGATCAGCACAACATTAGCAACTTGTTTTAATTTAATTGTCTTTATCTGCTGAATACTACATTAATAAACTCCTTCAGATTCTTGCAACCTACTATTTTAATATTTTCTAGACCTTCTGTTCCTAAAGCTTTTACGGCTTGCTTTGGTACTACACAGGTTTTGTAACCCAACTTTGCCAATGCGAGTACTCTTTTGTCGATTCTGGGAACCTGCATCATTAAATAATCAAACAACCAGGTTAAGGCTCGATTAAATAAATAAATAAACAAAAGCGTACAATTTGGCTTGAAACAAAGAATGGTTCTAAAAGCATGGCAACTAAACAACCATAGCTATGGGAATACAAAACATCCAAGACGGTGTCTTGGATTTTACTATAGGTTGCACAGTTTCAATCAAGCTCAGTCAACCTAATACTAAAAGGAACATTTAATATTATAACGAACAAGCTCACCGTGCGAAGTTCTCCACTAAGGCCAATTTCCCCAATGAATGCAATGCCTTTTGGAATAGGGTACTCCAAGAAACTGGAACAAAAAAAAACACAATAACTAAATGAAACAAAAAAAAAATATAGAATATTATATTGGAAAAGATGGCGCACATGCAATAGTCCGAGTAAGCTTATTTTCCAGATAAGGAGTTTGAAGATGAACAATAACCCTCTCAATTCACATAATACAGTAGCCATTTCAAACAAATTAGAATACCAACCTGCTGCAAATTGCAGCTGCTATTGCAAGATCTCCAGCAGTCTCAGTCAATGTCAAGCCACTGACAACATTCAAATGCACAGACTGTTGCACAAAGAAAACATAAGGAAATACAAAATGTAAGAACAAGAATACATATATCAAAAGAAAATATATTCCCACCAGTTATAATTTAAGCATTAAAGAGACGTGAACATGGCAGATAGCTACTTTAGAAGATAAAAAGTTTGGAGAATGCCTTTTTTTGGATCGAGTGTTGAATTTGAATTTTGAATTGAATGTTGCGGGTGCAGCATTTGTATTATTCTATGTTACCCAGAAACAGAACAGTAGAAAATCAACAACAAATGGAATAATATGAAAGAGGGGAACTGATTGTTTATTAAGATGTCAATGGAAAACTTCAGAGGGAGAACGACCCTGATTCTGACCGGAGCTCAGCTCCTATAGAGAAGCTACAGCTCTCTATTCATATCTAACTGCTAATTCCTCAAGATACTCTCTCAACCTCTCCTCCATTCCTTATATTGCGGAACAGTTACAGTCAATTGCTCACTCAAGCCCCCCTAACAGAATTAGTCACACATTCCCGCTTTTAGCCCCTTCTAGTATAAACTCTCCACAGCTTGGGCCCACAGGATTTATGATGAGCTAATTCCTCATTTGGTACGTGATCTCTAACAATTTATTGTGCAGAATTTGTATTATTGTGCGGTATTATATTATAGTGCGGAATTTGTAATGTTGTGCATATTTATTGCGCAGAATTGAAATATAGTGCAGAATTCTAGAAACTATATTCATGACATTATCATATGTGAAAAATAGGAATAAGAAATTTTCTGAATGGGCTTGAGTGAGTAAAGCACTCTGCAACCTTGATATTTATACACACTATAATTAATTACATTTTATGTTTACAAAGAGAAATAAATAATAGTCTAACTCCCTAAATGCATGAATCTAAAATATACATGAACCTAAAACTTAAATGCTCATTTTAGTGGAAAACATACAATTTATTTTTCTATTTCCAACACTCCCCCTCAAGCTGGTCAATAAGTATTCTCCATTCCCAGCTTGGATACAATTCGTTCAAAATTAGTGCTACTCAATCATTTAGTGAGAATACTTGCAAGTTGCCCTTGTGAGGACACATATGGGGTGCAAATCAGCCCACTATCAAGCTTCTCCTTAATGAAGTGTCTATCAACCTCAATATGCTTAGTTCGATCATGTTGAACTGGATTATGTGCTATACTGATAGCTGACTTATTATCACAGTAGAGTTTCGTGGGTCCTTCCTATTTGATTTTCAAATCTTCTAAAATAATTTGAGCCAAAGTAATTCACAAATGCCTTGAGCCATGGCTCAAAATTCAGCTCCTGCACTAGAACGGGCTACTACATTTTGCTTCTTACTCCTCCAAGTCACAAGATTTCCTCCAAGAAATGTGCAGTACCCTGTAGTGGATCTTCTATCAACAATTGAACATGCATCAGTGTAGGCCTCAAGGGTTGTATTTCCATTTCTTTTGAACAAAATTCCTCTTCCTGGAGTTCCCTTAAGATACTGTAGGATTCTATGAACTGCTTGTAAATGGTTTTCTTTAGGACAGTGCATGAACTGACTAACCATACTTACAGCATATGCAATATCGGGTCTACTGTGAGACAAGTAAATTAATCTCCCAACTATATGTTGATACATTTCTTTATCTACTGCAACACCTTCTGTATTACTCAGTTTATGATTTGGATCCATAGGAACGCTCGCAGGTTTACACGTTGTTTTTCTTGTATCTTTGAGTAAATCTTTAATGTATTTTTGTTGAGATATAAAAATTTCTTTTCAGTAATGTGCCACCTTGATTCCCAAGAAGTACTTCAGCTTTCCAAGAATTTTTATTTCAAACTCCTTAGCCAAACACTGACTCGAGATTTGTTGCTCCTTCCAATCATCTCCTGTCATCATAATGTCATTCACATATACTAGCAAAACTGTTACTCCACCTTGTGGCGAGTGTTTGATGAATAAGGTGTGATCGCCCTTGACTTTGCTTGTACCCCAAAGATGTCATAACCTTAGTGAATCTTCCAAACCATGCTCGAGGTGATTGTTTTAGACCATATAACGCCTTTTTCAACCTGCAAATTGTATTGTCAGACACATTTTTTTCATATCCCGGTAGTACCTGCATATAAATCTCCTCTTCGAGTTCCCCATGTAAGAAGGCATTCTTCACATCAAATTGTTGTAAATCCCAACCATAATTAGCAGCAAGTGACAAAATCACTCTCACTGTAATCATCTTCGCAACCGGAGCAAATGTCTCTGAATAGTCAATTTCATAGGTTTGTGTAAACCCTTTGGCAACCAACATGGCTTTATATCTTTCGATTGCTCCATCAGCCCTATATTTTACTGTGTACACCCATTTGCATCCAACCGGCCTCTTTCCATCTGGTAAAGTCACTAACTCCCAAGTTCCATTCTTCTTCAATGCGTCCATTTCGATATTCATGGCTTGCTTCCATTTTTCATCAGACAATGCCTCAGAAACATTAGTAGGTATGGAAGTAGCATTTAGGTTTGTAAGGAAGGTTCTATGGGTAGCTGAGAATTTTTGAAAAAAAAGATAAATTGAAAGGGGATATAAAGGCTGTTTGGTGCATTTTCTAGTACCTTTTCTAATAGCAATTGGAAGGTCTAGGTCATCATCTATTGTTTGGGTTATCATTTTATCTTGTAATTCAGAAGAATTAATTACCTCATTCGAAGGAGTCGAGTCAGACTCTTGAACTTGTGTCGATTCAGGATTGGCCTTTGACTTTCTCATGTAAACCAGATTATTTTCATATCTTACATCCACTTCAGGCCAAGTTCAGCAAGTGGTGTATTTGATTGATTTGACTCAACTCCTAGTTCTTCAGCCTCAGATGGGTCTGGTACAAGTGTGTTTAACTCAGGACCAGAAAGATTGGGTCTATTTGACTCTAAACTGGAAGAATTAAGTGGATTTGACTCGAGACAAGAGAGATTGAGTGTATTTGACTCACGACTAGAATGACCAAATGTATTTGACTTAATACTAGACAGATTGAGTGTATTTGACTCAAGACCAGAAAGATCGAGATTTTCAAGCTTATCTTCCTTAAAATTCTCCCCCTGAAGATAAGGTTGAGTAAAGTACGGTTCCTTCTCATGAAAGGTAACATCCCGCGACACGAAAAACTTTTTAGATGGAGGATGGAAACACTTATATCCCTTTTGAGTAGAGGAATACCCGACAAAAAACACATCTTAGGGCTCTAGGGTGGAGTTTTTTTCTATCTTGACTATGCACATGGACAAATGAGACACACCCAAAAATTCTTGGTTTAAGATTACTACTTACTGACAAATTTGGATAGAAGGAAGAAAGAACATCCATAGGACTCTTGAACCCTAATATTCTAGAGGGTAATCGATTAATAAGATATGTACTAGTGAGAACTGCCTCCCCCCATAAATATTTTGGAACATTTTGATGAAACAATAGTGCTCAGGTTTGGTCTAATAGATGCTCATTTTTCCTTTCTGCAATTCCATTTTGTTGTGGTGTTTTAACACAAGAAGACTCATGAACAATTCCCTCTTTTTGACAGAAAGAAGTAAGAACATGATTGAAGTACTCTTTTCCATTGTCAGACCTAAGCCTTTCGATGTTTACTCCAAATTGATTTGTAATCATGTAGAAAAGCTTTGGAAAAACAGTACTGACGTCAGACTTGTTTTGGAGTAAAAACACCCAAGTAACCCGAGTACAATCGTCTATAAAAGTAACAAACCACCTAGCACCCGTTACATTTGGATTGGTTGAGGGACCCCAAACATCTAAATGAATAAGATAGAAGAGGGAAAGGCTTCTTTTGTTGTTTAATAGAAAAGGTGAACGCTTATGTTTAGCAAACTCGCACACATCGCAATGAAGACTTTCAATATATACCTTATTGAATAAAGATGGAAACAAAACTTTAATGACTCCAAAAGAAGGATGACCTAATCGACAATGAAAAAGAAATATTTTTTCCTTTTTAA